TAGCTGGAAGAGATGCACAGGGAAGGGGCGCGGAGCTCCCATGCCCTCTCCAGGGCACCAGCCTTCAGTCACCTCCACGTGTTCAGCTATCTGGAAGCTCCCCAAACTCTGTCCTTTTGGGATTTCATGGAAGCTTCATTATGTAGGCATGAATAATTATATCATTGACCACTGGTGACCAACCGAAACTTCACATCCTTTCCCTTCCCTAGAGGTTGGAGGGTGGGGCTGAAAGTCCCAGCCCTGTAATCACAGCTGGGCCACTAGTTATCTTATTAGCATACAAAAGACTCCTGTTGCTTTAGAGATTCCAAGCGTTTGGGGAGCTATATGTCAGGAAATAGGAGAAGACCAAATATATATTTCACAGTATCACACACACGTACTCTCTTCATCACAGGTGAAGTTTCGCCCAAAGCAACAGAAGTGAAGCAGGCTTCTATTCTCGCAGAGGTTTGGGTCCGGTAGATACTAATAACTTCTATTCTCCGATGCTTTGTAGCAGGGCAGACATTAAGCATTTCATGTGCTTTTTTTTTTTTTTTTGAGACAGGGTCTCACTCTATCTCCCAGGCTGGAGTGCAGTGGCACTATCACAGCTCACTGCAGTCTCAATCTCCAGGGCTCAAGCGATCCTCCCACCTCAGCCTCCTGAATAGCTGGGATTACAGACATGTACTACCATGACCAGCATATTTGTATTTTTTGTAGAGATGGGTTTTCACTATGTTGCTCAGGCTAGTCTCGAACTCCCAACCTCAGCCTCCCAAGTAGCTAGGAATACAGGCACATGCCATCACAGCCAGCATATTTTTGTATTTTTTGTAGAGACAGCGTATTGCCATGTTGCTTAGGCTGGTCTTGAACTCCTGAGCTCAAGGGCTCCACAGGCCTTGGCCTCCCAAAGTGCAAGGACTAAGGTGCAGCTGCCGCACCCAGCCTTTCACATGTATTATTTAAGCTTCACTTTACAAGTGAGAAAAGCAGCCTTGGCTCAGAGAAGTTAAGTGACTTGCAGCAAATCACATAATTGCTAAGTGATGAATCTGAGCTTTGGCTCCAGGACTATCTGACCTCGGGTCTAAACTTACACTACTGTATTTTTCTTAAGTCAGTCAGAGTTCTATTGTTTGACGGAAAGTATATCCTTCTTTTAAGGCAGAATAAGACCCTCTGCCAAACCCTGCTCTTTCTTTCTCCTCCTGCACTAAGAAGACAGGGAGTACAGTAGAGGGTTTGGGATTGGGATAGTGGTTGCAGAGAAGATCTGGAACTAAAAATATGGACTGGGGTAGAAATGGTGGTGATTCCACTAAACTTGGAAACACTTAACAAGACCCCATAACATGCAAGATTTGCAAGAAATGGGGTACATTTTCTATACCAGTGCCTTAAGTAAGTAATAACAATTCTTTGTTAAACAAATGATTTAGCGAAGACAGAACCAATTATATATACATATATGTATTCTAAAAAAGGTTGTTAAAGTATTAAAGTTAGCGGTAGGAGAAAACAATAAAAAAAATGAACTCTCCCTATGTTTATAAACTAATTTCAAACACCAAAGGTTGGTTTTTAGTTGGATGAGTCTGTTTTTGCCTTGATTAAAAAGAAGTGATTTTTTTTCAGCCTAGTTTTCCTGGTATGAAAGGCAAGAAGGAATGACATTCTGTAACTGTTATAGAGGTGAAAACAGTTTTATTTATTGGTGGTCATTGCCGGCCTATAACCAGGGCACAACCTTCTTGGTAAACATTTACCAAGCATTAGTAGAAGATGATTCACTAACTTTTAAAACTCTTCTTTCCTTATATGCATATTAATACCATGATGTCTTTGGGTTTTAAGTCCATCTATACAGGCACACGTGCAAATAAATTCAAACATATCATTTGTAGTAGTTTACATAAGGGCTTGCTAGTTCAAATGGAGTTGTTAGTTTTGCATCTTAAATTAGTTCCTGTCAACCCAGCAACTAAAGAAAATTCCTTTGTGGAAAAACTTTCCAAGCATGACCCAGTGATTGTTTTAATGGATTTTCAATGAAGGGTGAAGTACCATGCTATGTAGCCTGTGGGCATTCCATAAATATATTTTTTGACTGATTCTGTTAACAAACTACATAGAAAAAACCAAATACTTACTATTCAATCCTCTTGCATTGTTTCCCATAGGCTCTGTCTGTTAGTGTATTTATAAGCATTTAAAGTGTATAAAGCAGCTGTAGCAGTGAAAGTGAATTGCCCAATGCAGAGAAGCACTCTGGGCTGGAGGGTTTTACTTAGTTAAGATTTTCAATGTGCACCTGAGATTTGCCCTCTCCAAAATGAGGAAGAGGCCTAAAGCCAATCAGCTGAAAGTAGTACTAAGCCCTGCAGGCTAAAAAGGTAATGTCCCACCTATGCTAGAGGACCTGATGTTGGTATAGTCAATTTTCTGTCTTCTATGTAAGATATAGATCTGCTCTGACCTTGACATTGTGGAGAAAGCTACTATACTGTCAGTACTTGCTGTAACATAGACCTGAGATAAGAAAGGCATGTAGAACAGAAATCTTCACCGCCCTTCTCCCAAAACATTCATTGACCCCTCCTGTAAGAGAGAGAGATATATATAATCTATATATGTGTATATATATGCATATATAATCTATATATGTATATATGTGCATATATATGTGTATATATATTTTTTTCTAGACAGAGTCTCACTCTGTTGCTCAGGCTGGAGTGCAGTGGTGCAGTCTTGGCTCACTCCAATCTCAGCCTTCCAGGTTCTAGGTTCCCAGGTTCCCAGGCAGATTCTCGTGTCTCAGCCTCTTGAGCAGCTGGGACTACAGGCACATGCCACCACACCTGGCTAATTTTTATATTTTTAGTAGAGATAGAGTTTCACCATGTTGGCCATGCTGGTCTTGAACTCTTGATTTCAGGTGATCCGCCCACCTTGGCCTCCCAAAGTGCTGGGATTACAGGCATGAGCCACCTTGCCCATCCTGCATTCTTGCTGTGTGTGTGTAACCCTTGCTATAGTTATTATATGATTTAGGTTAAATTTAATTTATACGTTGACTATGATCTGAAGGTCAAGATCATTTGGGATAAAGAGAGATCAACCACATGTCCACAGACTGCAAGTTAAATTTAGTAAGAAGGCCCTGAGTAGATTCCAGAATTAGAATAAAGCTTTCATTTTTAGTTTGAGGAAATTTCAATATGGGCGACAGAACAAAGAACTCGGGTGGTAGGAATTCAGTTGGTAGGAATTAAGAGGGTGCCTGCCAGACGGTCTGCAAGCGAAGGAAGCCACGTGGCTGTAAAGCTGTTTAGGGCTGCTATGTGTTTATGCGGTGGTGGCAGAAACCTCTGGTTAGTTCGATTCCTTGCATTTTTCTTAGGTAACCAATTTTGTTACATCTATATCTTTTCCCTCTTTTCAGAAGGAAAAAAGTTTCAGCGACCCTTTCCTCATGGATCAGGAAGCTCAAGGTATTATTCAAGTACAGTGGCAGCAGTTACAAAGATATTTTCAAGCATTGTTCTCCCTACCCCAATTTCTGAGTCATTTAAGTAGAGGAACAGCTCTTTTGCCCTGGCTCATATGTGAAAAAAGTAGAATGCAGGCCAAGCTTTAAATCTAGGGATGATTCTCATTAATGAGGTTAGGTCTGCCACCTGGTGGTTAAAAATAAAATGCCACCTGATTTTCTCATCTAATCTGTCCATATACCACACTTAAAAATTCTACTTTGCAAACCCAACTTTAACCTCTGACTTCGGTTGTGCTTGCCACCAGCCAAAAGTTCCCAACTGATGACAATGGCACCGACACCTTGGGGAGAATTTTTAAGCAACCATCTGGAACTCAATCCCTTAAATCACATTTGAAGTGTTTTAGAACACTGGTGGAACCACCTACAACACTTCCAATGTGACTTAAGGGAGATTTTAGGAGAATAAGGTTCTCCTAAAGAGGAAAGAAAGCACTAATTCATTCATTAGTACAGAAACTATTGTGCAAAAAAAAAAAATCTATGCTCATCAATTTGCAAACAAATGTGTGAGACAATGTACCTGCTCCATCAGTGACAAAGAGATGGGAGTGGATAACCAAGTTAGGCTGGGAAAGTAAGAGTAATTCTTGCTTCGCGTTGAAAGGCTGAGGAGAGTGCAGAATCATCTGAGGCCATTAGGGGGAGTGCTAAGTCTCCAGAAACACACACACACTACCCCCCCCAAATTTTGGAATACAAATTCTGGAATATGTCCACAATTATTTGTGGATTTGGCCCATGGATCCCTCACAGAGGGTGAAGATACCCCAGTACCCTGGACAGCTTCAGCTTCCAGTAACCTTCTCCAGCACTGAAGACTTCAGCTCCTTCCTTTTTTCGCCTACTCCTAATTTCCTTTCCTTGTAGGCCAGTACTCTCAACGTGTGGCCCCCAGTATCACCACTGTAACCACCTGGGAAACGTTCAGAAATGCAAAATCTCTGTCTCTACCCCAGACCAAAGGAATCAGAAACTGTAGGGCAGAGTTCATAAGGCCTCCAGGTGATGTTCATGCAAGCTGTGAACCTCTAGTCCAGGGGTGTCCAATCTTTAGGCTTCCCTGCCACATTGGAAGAAGAATTGTCTTGGGCCACACATAAAATACAATAGTTAAAAATGTGTTTTTGCAAAAAACCTCATCACGTTTTAAGAACGTTTGTGAATTTGTGTTGAGCTGCATTCAAAGGTGTTCTGGTCTGCCTGCCGCCTGTGGGCCGCGGGTTGCACAAGCTTGCTCTAGTCTTTGGGTGATCCTGTGGGCACAGACCAGGGAGACTTGTCGGAGTGGGAGCTAAGGGGAGAGGCAATGGATCCTAGAAGCCAATCTAGTTACCCAGCCCAGCCCAGAGTGTTAGAGGGAGCAGAGAAGAGCCACAAAGGGAGGTTGCAGAGGTTTTTGCCAACTCGGCACCAGCTTTGTGGACACTGACCCCTCAATCACCCTTGGTCACAAGATCTTCAGATGGGAGACTCAGTCTTCGATTCAAGCGACACTAGAGAAGGATCGCTACAGTACCCAGAGCAGGTAAGATAAATAGGGCTGTGTCCACCCCCCCTGGGCGCAGCTCCAACTCTCTTCACTCCCTTCCAGATCCGTGGAAAGCACCCCTGACACACGCATATTTGTGGATGGGATACCTGGATTGAGAACGAACTCCATCAACCCCCAAGACACTGCACCCCGCTCCGTTTCTGCTGGAGGAAACGCTACTTTCTAAAGGAAAATACTGTTTAAATGTGCAGAATTACAGTACACACAATACTTACAGAACGGCAAGTATTAGTCCTTGGTATTTTTTCTGCCACCTTTTCCCATCTCCCCCATCCTGTCTGCTTGTGCTTCCTTACCTTTCTAGCACAAAACAAGCACTTAATAAATAGTGCAGAATGAACAGCTGAAGCTTGCTTCTACTATCTTCCATATTTTTCTTTGGCTGCTGTCAAAAAGCACCAACTCAGAGCCAGGGTGGCCGACTTTGTCCAAGTCTCTACTGAAAAACGACTCTTTTTAGGGGGAAAGTCATAAGCGAATGCAGGCATGTCTCTGCCCCCTATTCCTTCTCCCGGCATGTGGGCACACAATGGGCGGTCGGCAGAGGTGGGGGCGTGAGGAGCACAGGCTCCCTGTGTCCAAAGTCCCGAGTCACCTCCGCCTGGAATCCATCTAACTCAGCTGCAAACCAGAAGACGCGGCCTGGGAGGGGCGCAGAGCCCTCCCCCACCTCCCCGGGCTGGGTGACTGTCAGGCCGCATCTGCTCCAAATTTATGGCTCCTCCTTGGGCCGCCGCCGGCCTCTCCACGGCCTCTTTACCAAGTGCAGCCCCAGCTGAGACCCCTCCCGCGGGGAGGGAGGGAACCCGACGCGCGGCCGGGGCTGGGGGCGGGGAGCAGGTGTGAAGCGGGGTGGCAGCGGCGCGCGGTCACCCTCCACCGCGCCGTGGAGACCCGGCGTCACCCCCACGCGCACACAATAGCGCTGGGGCCAGACCCAGGGCGGCCCATTAGCGGCTGATGGCGGAGGCGGGAGCCGGGCGGGCCGCCTAATCGGCGCACGCGGACACCTGGGTGGGAGCGCTGGCGAGTGGAGGGAGCGCCTGCACGCAGGACCCCGGGCCAGGTAGCCGCCGAGACCGACTCTAGCCAAATCCCCCACGCCAGCGCCAGTCCGACTAACAGGAGCTGGTCCAGTGAACAATAAGAGGCCCCGGGGCTGGCGAGGAACGGAAGCGTCCGTGGAGCGCGCAGGCTGCTGGAGCCCCTGGCAGCGCCCCCGGCAGCGCCCCAGCGCCCTCCCCTCCCGCCCAGCGGCCGCTGATTGCCTATTGTGCGTCCCCTCTGCGGCAGCCCGCGCGATGCACTCTGCGAGCTGGCCCCTTGGTTTCTAAATGAGCAGCCAGCGCCGCAGACACGTGCCAGGGTTGTTCACTGCGTGGGGCTGGGGGCATGCAATAAGACAAGAGACCGCACGGAAATAGCTCCGTGCCCGTCTGCAGCACTGTCCTTCTCACGTGCCTTCGGATAAGAGGACTTTCACTCTTTCCCCTCTTCTGCCCCAATCACTCTGTCTCCCCGACATTGACATTGACCACCCTCTTCTCTAACCCGAAATCCGCAGGGGAGGCTTCAGTCTTTTATTATTATTATTATTTTCCTGGGTAGTAGAAGCCTTTGCCTTGCCTGGGCTCTGGAATGCTCAGGTAAAAAGTGGGTCTGGCCGGATGCAGTGTATATCTTTAACATGGAGGCGAGAGAACTGGATAGAGGAGCAGCGCTAGTCTGTGACAGCTCCAGACGTCCTGCTCCAAGCATCCCAGTCCTAAGCACCCCAATCGTCTGGTGTCTTCCGTCCCAGGGAACTCTGGCTGGTCGTCGTGGCTTTGTTTAATGCTCTGCCACACTATCGCGTTCCCTGTGGGATGGGAACCTCTGGGAAAGGACCTGAAAAGGGACCAGAAAAAAGGTTTGGGAAATCAAAGTCTAGTAATATGGAGTCCCACCACTGATGGTTTGGACTCACGGGCAATTTACAGTTGGATGGAAGCTGAAGTGTCATCAGATTTAGAGGCCACAGTCTGGCAGCCTGTGGACCAAATCCAGGTCACCAACACATTTTGGTCCATAAAGTGTTTTTTAAACTTTCTATCATGAATAATAGCATATTGTGGATCATAAATATATATAAATTGGTGAGAATGCTATAATGAACCCCCATAGTCCCACCACCCAATTTCAGCACTTAATCTATTCAAAGGCAATCTTCCTTCATCTATTCTCCCACTCTCCTCCAGAATTTGAAGCAAATCTCAGAAATCCTATCATTTCTTCTGTAAGTACTAAAAAGTAGTCCTAAAAGATAAGAATTCTTTTAAATAGCATAATAATAATATCACTATCACACCTAAAATAATAATTCCTTGTCCTCAAATATATCGTCAATGTTCAAACTTCCCCAATTGTCTTATTTTTCTTTATTGTTGTTCAAATTGGGATCCAAATGAATCGCCACAGTGCATTCTCTCCTTTAATCTGATAATCCCCCAGTTAATCTCTTTTTTTCCTTGAAATTTATTTGTTAAATAAACCAGATCATTTGTTCTGTAGAATTTTCCACAGTCTGAATTTTGTTAAATGTATCCCCATGGTGCTATTTAACATGTTCTTCTACCTCTATATTTCCTGTAAATTGGTTGTTAGATATAGAGGCTTGATCAATTAATGCTTGATTTTTTTCAAGAATATTTCATAGACCATAGTTTAATTCGATCAGAAGTAATGTCTGCTTGTCAGTAACGACCATTGTCTAGATCCATTATTTCATTAGGGATTGCCAAGTTGTGACAGTCTAGTTCTATGATTCACTCTTCATTTATGAGCTTGAATACTTCTTTAAAGAGTATCTGTCATCAATGATTTGTTTATGCAGAGGTACATGTCAAATAGGAAAGGCAGGATAAATGCTTGATTCTTTCCCTTATTATTTATCAGAGTAATGAGGTTATTCCTCAGATTCCCCTAATGGTAACCAATGATTTTTTTTAAGCACTTATGAACTAATATATCTCATGTGTTTCAAACCAAGTAAATTTTTATTGGGCATTTTAAAATTAGGAGATGTCATATTAAAAACATTGACCTCTGGCTTCTATTGTAGAACATCTGGCAAACTTGAACCCTTTTTCCAGCAAGACTAGAGCAGACTTTGGCTGAGGAGCACTGCCTCCTTCAGTAGGCATTCATTCTTGCCTTGGCATGCTTTGATCTTCTTAGACCCAGGACCCTCTGCCCTGCAGGAGTAAGTCTGTAAACCAGATCCCATCCAAGTCTCTCACCTTGTAGATGAGAGAGCTGATGAAGTAGCTTACCTACTTGAGACTGGAAGACAAGTCTCCTGGCTGCCTACCAAGACAAGGGTAAAGCAAACAGGGAAAATCAGCTGGTCTCTGCCTCACCTGCAAGTTGAACTGAGCCAGAGACCTGGGACCACTTCAGGATAACCTTCCTCCCCATTTCCAAACACACCTTGCAGAGGAAACTTGGGAATATTCCAAACTCCACTCTCTCTTTTGCCTCCCACATCCAATCAGCCACCTAGCCTGCTAATTAGCCTCCCTTCCTCCATTCCTGTCCCCCTCCAACTCATCCTCCTCACTCGCAATGAGGTTTTCTAAAACATATGTCTAACCGTGTCACTCTCTGGCTTTAAAATCCGTCACTAACTGCTCATTGCCTTTAGGTTACATCTAAGTCAACATTAGCACAGCACACAAGGCTTCTCATGTCCTGGGCTCTACCATGGCTAGCTCCTTACCTCATGCTGTCTCCTTGTCACAACCCTGTCCTCCAGCTGGACAGAATACCCACAGGGCTCTGTGCACACAGTTTTGTCTATGCTATGTCCTCTCTGTATTTGCTATTTACTCCTTTAAACATCCACTGCTTCACTGGCTGGCTCCCACTTACAGCTTAAGTCCCACTCCAGGCTTTGATCTTAGGAAAAGCCTTTTTGGCAAGCCTTGACTGCATTCCGTGTCCTACTCTGCACGTCCATAGCATTGTGTGCTCCCTTTAAGATGAGGACCTTACCACTGAAGGGTTGTTTTGTTCTTTGTTTGGTTTGTTTTTTCACTTGTTTCCCTCCTGGCCGGTGTGGGAGCTTCCTGAGGCCTGACAGGGGCTGTGTCTGTGTCTCCAACTCCTAGACCATGTTCCCGACCATGTTTCCGATGGGCAAAGTAGGTGCAGGCCAGTAGGATTTGGTTAGTCAGTGAAGTTAAACAAAAGAGATGAAGGTTTGTGGACTGTTGGAGAGAAAGAGGATCCCTGCAAGGGAAGGGACTTGATGCAAATGACAGCCTGGCAGTAGGCTCGCTGGGCAGATGCCCGGGAGACATTAGGGCTGCCTGGGGCTGAGGTAATATCCTGGGAAGCGAGCCGGGTCTGCAGCCCTGGCTAGGTCACGACCCGGGCTCTGCCTGTCTCGGCCATCCGCGGACCTGTGCATGCATGTGTGCGTGTGTGTGTGCGCGCGTGTGTGTGTGCGGACACACACGCTCGCGCGCGCGCGCGCACACACACACACACACACAGAGCCTCGCCAACCCCGCCTCCTCCCGCTGGGAGGATAATTAAAGCGCCAAAGTGCGGAGCGGGCGGGCAGCGTTCCCGGGGGCGCATTTCATCCGGGCTGATTAATGAGGCCGGGGAGTTAATGAGGAGAAAGCTAAACGCAGGGAGCTGAGCCGCGGAAGGCCTCTCCAAGGCCCTGGAGGGGGCCCTCCGAAGGCATCTCCCGCCTTCTCTTTCTAGTAGCGGCTTAGCGCAAGCCACATGGTGCCCCTGGCTCCTCTTGCCGCCTCAAGCCCAGGGGCGGGGGAAGAGGGGTCGCCCCAAGTCACGCCGGCCGCAGTGGAGTCCGTCTCCTCCGCGTGTGGCTAACCCGGCTAAACAGCAAAAGAGCCTGCCTTGCCATCTGAAACACAACAAAGGGCCTCGGGAGACCGCCCCTTTCCTTTTCTCCTCAGGGAACTTTGGGCACGGGTCCCAGACCACCTGCAGATTGCGTTCCAGACCCGAATTAAGGATCAGCTCTGCCATGCCAACCGAGTAACCTTGGACAAGTTACTTAGTCCCTTGAGCCTCAGCTTCTGCGTCTGTAAGATGGGATCACACTCCTTACCCGCCCTAAAAATGACTGTTAGTGAGCGCCAGACACTAAGCACTTGGCGTGTATAATCTTATTGATTCTTCCCAACAACTCTAGGAAGTAG